TTCTTCACAATTTCTGTTTCTGTCAGGTACATGTCTAAAACTGCAAAAACGGGTGTATTACATTTGCATAGATTTGGGGATTAACATATGTTACATTTGCACACAAAAAGTAATATCACATTTGTGCACTTTAACCTATAGTTCTACCTGTATACTTAGCAAGCTATTAAATACTCAAATCTTAATTGTCTAGGATTGTCAGTTTTACTATCAAAGGTTTGATGGTTCTTTCATGGCACTCCAACTTCCTACACCAATGTACATACATGTAGACCTCCAGGAAATAGCACAATAGTCACAATAGTGCTGAAAATGGCGTTAAAGACCAATCAATTAAAATATATATAATACTTTTCATGAATTTGTTTACCTACACTGACTTATTTTGCTTGTTAATCTAAATCTATAGGAAATTATGTGTTTTCAATACTCGTTGATTTTTAAATTTGTATGGGGAAAACAACAAACAATGATACACAGAAGAAGAAAAGGCTGTACAGTTTATTGACGAATTTAGCGTCACACCTAATTCTTTATAGTTTTTGAAATTTATGAATTTGCAGTGAAGTTGAACTTTACATCAATATGTTGACTATATTAAATGATCAGTCTGGAAGATAATCTCATTGGAGATCATACCACATCTCTTTATCTTTTAAATAGTGCACCTGAGATAAATTATGATTAATTATCAAATAATCTCAAAGGCCTTTAGTTTTCTCATTTAACATGTTTACACTGTTTCAAATTTTTCATGTTGGACATTTTATAACTGACTATATATATAATACTTTATGGGGGTTTTCATTGTTGAAGGTCGTACAGTGACTTTTAATTGCTTATAAAATATTTTTGCCATTTGAACTCTGGTGTATGGTTGTCTCATTGGCAATCATGCCACATCTCCTGATTTTCAAATAAATTAGAGCATAACTCATGGCATTAGTTTTCTCTTATGATAATTTCAGAATTTATTATGCTGTGCCTTTTATTCTCACCACACAATACGGTATGGGTTCTGGTCATTGTTGATTATTATACAGTGTCTTATAGTTGTTTAACAACCTCGGGTGGATAGTTTCTCATTTACAATCATACAACATCTCATTATCTACTATATCCATGTTTATTACCAGTTGGAGAATGCAGGACAGAAAGCCCTAGACAAAAGGGTACAGGAAACGTGATTATTAAGTATTTAAGTTTTGAGATAAATTTGTCTTTGATTTACCATTTATATGTTTTAAGTATATTTCGTATTTTCTTGAACAATTATATGTAAAACAACTTTGATATCTACTTATTTGTCCTAAAATTCATAATTACATTGTATCTTGAAAATAAGCTAATTAATACAATGTCAGTTTCAATATTAATTTTAAAATTAATATGTTCCTCAAAAATATTTTATATATAATATATAATAGAATAGAATAGAATAGAATAGAATATTTTTATTTCCCAAATTACATGATGTATTATATATTTATTGAAAATGAATTCATAACCATACAAAACTGAAATTAGAATAGGTAATAATCAGGATGTTCACATTGTATTTGTAATTATCAGAAATCAGAATATACATGTACATTCTATACATGGTACAGGTAATAAACAATTGTCAACAAAACAGTATATTGTCTTGAGGGGTGAATTTCAAAGGGTCATACATGTAGGTATCGCACACGACTATGAATTCCACAAATGTTAAATTGCACCACTTATCATGTACCTGCTCACGTAATTTTACTGGATATTCAAACCAATTTGAAAAAGAAGTATGAAGCAACATGCTATATTTTATTCTGTTAAGAAATGCATTTTTAAAGGTTATATTAGGTATTTATTTATCAACTTAAAAAATTAATTATTACAAAATGTAATGATGAAAGAAATTAAAACACAAATGTCATATGAAACCCAAGGTTTACTGATAAATTCTAGAAGGAAATTATAGCTTTTTTGGTTAGCCGACTTGAGGTAAAGTTTTCCCTTGAACATGTACTTGTACTAGGACAAAGGAGTATAGAAATGAGCAAAAAGAAACAAATTCGTATTTCCTATAGCTTCAGTATGCAATTTTAAATGTGAATATGTGCTATAGCCTAAATTGACCCTAAATTATTTTCAGGGTCTTACTTGGTCTAAGACCATTTTGTACTCATATGATATGCTATTTGTAATTTTTCTTTCCATGTAAAGTACATTAAATACATATGGAAGGATTATTTATAACAAAAAAACTACACAAAATTAAAATTGCTGGAAAATATTACATCTTCATGTAAGGCCCCACTGCATTCAAAAACCTCTATTTTCATTCACAGGCTCACATAAATTTGACTTTTGAATAATTGTAATAAATCTAATACATCAAATGAGTGCTCTTTTGCTTTTAATACATGATATATTAAATATTAGGGCGTTTAAAAAGTAAGTTTTTTTGCAATTTTTGAATTTTTAAAGCCCTAAATGTTGATAGTTGAAATTCTTTAATTTTAATGTCAAAAGCTACACAGTTATGTCCTTTGATTTTCGATGTGTACAAATATAGTCCCGAGTGTGGACACTGTGTTACTTTCTATTTTTTTTTTATACCCCTTCCAAATTAATTTCTTTATGTTTTATGCCTCAAATAGCAAGTAGGGGGATGAAATTACACTGTAAAAAAATTGGGTCATGAATTTTAAATTAAGTTGTGATTTGGTCCAGCTAAAAAAGGTTAACAATTAGTATTTCTGAAGCTGTCAAAAGAATTCAAGACCCCCTTAACATAAAATTGTCCATATTTCGAGTTAGAGCTGATGAAGTTTTCTATAATTTTGATATAATTTGTCCCAAAAAGTATAACACCACATTGTAAAAATATTCATGATATTGTTGAGAAAGCGCAGGTGGGATTTTTTTATTTTCATTTATTGTCTAAAAGAAATGCACTATGAAATAACTGTGTTCTCAAGTCATGCTTGAATGCTTTCTCCTATACCTAAATAAAAGTTGTTGTGATTTTGATTTTCTTGGAATATAATTTTAGAGTACTTACACAATACATATAAACTAAAGAAACATGTCAATCGCTTGGTAGTTGCAAGTTATGAAAGAGTGGATGAATTCATAATTTTGTGTATGTTATTCATTGTTTTTGGAAAAATGAATAGCTCAAACAGCATTGTACAGTAGTACTACCATGAAGTGGTGTTGGGATTAAACTGGACAAGAATCAAATAGTGCATTGAATAAATAGCAAACTAATAATTTGTTAGAAAGATCATACAACTGGATAGCTGTTAATACCTTGGATAATTATTCATTTGAAATAGCAATGGAATGACAAGTTTTTATATATTCAGTGAATATTTATATTATAGTACATGGTCACCAAACTGGCTTTTTATTCTGGTCAAGCATATTAACAATACTTCAAAGTATCATTTTATTTATATGACCATTGATCACAGCTGCTTTTGCTATTAAACAAAATTTAGACAACAATAATAATTCAATTACATGTACATGTTATTATATTCTTGATATTGTAGTCTTGTATAATATAAAATAAGGAGATGTGATATGATTGCAAGTGAGATAACTATCAACCAGAGACCAAATGAGATAGATGTTACATGTAGCAACTTAATGTCGTCACTGTACAGTCTTCAAGGATGAGTAAAACTGATACTGCATATATATAGCAAACTATTAAAGGACAGACATAAAAAAAACATAAAACAATTCAAAATTGAAACCCAACAGCCTAGTTTATGTACAATATGTATGAAAAACAAATGTGAAGTTGCAACGAACAACAACCGCTGAAAATTTGCCTACCAAATTTAAGTAAGGGTGATTGTAAGTTAGATTCTTATTCTAGACATAAAATCAGTATTTGCTACTCCTCAGTATACATGACAAAGCACATAGCATTCAGGAAAAGAGTCAAATGTCTTTCAGCAAACTCTTTCTTTTTGAGGTAGCATGCTTAAAATCTAGATAAACCTAGATCAGGGTACTACAAATTAAAGCAAGTTTCTTACATACATGTATAAAATGGTGTCCTTAATAGGCATAGTGTTTTCCATTGATGTAAAGCCACCTTCATTCATTGGAACAGAAATAAAACGTGAATACCTGTGTTAAAAGAGGTCACCAGCTGGGGCCGAAGTCACATATTGTTCATTAAAGGCTATGATTCAATACCAGTAATTCATAGATGGTAATAGTATGTCCCATTATTTGACTGGATTGAAGAAGTCCAAAACTTTTTTGTAGTCTGGATGGGAGCTCCTTGAACATGTTAATTTCTGTATTCTTTAAAAGAGGGACGAAAGATACCAGAGGGACAGTCAAACTCATAGATCGAAAACAAACAACTGACAAAGCCATGGCCAAAAATAAAAAGACAAACAGACAAATTATAGTACAGATGACACAACATAGAAAACTAAAGACTAAGCTGATTTACAAAAAATACAAACAAAGATTTCTAATTTCGGTTGATTGTTTTTATTTCAACAATGATATTTTATGGGAGGTGTTTTCAAATTACTTATTCAATATCTGTTTAGTTCCAACGATAAAAGAGTTTGTAAATGAAATATTCAATACATATAGAAAAAACAAGTGATTTTTTGCACAAGTAGTTACTTTTCTAGAAGGAAAATTTAGATGAATACAAAAGAAATGAAGATTAAGCACGTACGTTTGTCAACACCAGTCATTTGTATAGTACAACACATATATAATAGCCTTTTTATTTCAATTTAACGTATACAATAGAGGAGGATATTTTGTATTCCGGTATTTGCCTCCGTCTATCTGTTTGTGTGTTTTTTTTGCTTTAAGTTTAGATAAGAAACAGACAATCCTAGTCAAATAAAATAAAATAGTTCTACTACTTAGACCACTCAGCTACCGAATCCCCTCACACTTGGTAAAAATCTATCAAAAATAGCAGAAGTCATTTCTCCAAATGAATTATATAAGAATATATATCTTACCTGTTGCCTGATAGAACATTTATTTCTAAATTCCAATATATGAATATGGTTGTCTTTCACTAAATAAACTGCAAATAATTACAAAATGTTATTTTTAAAGTCAATAATTAAACAAACGGATTCAAATTTCACTCAATTAAACATTTCATTATATGTCAACTTATCTAATAGTTTACATTTCACTGATGCTTTGATTTCTTTTTATCGTTATTTTCATAATTACATAATATTATTTCTAGTCAAACAAGTGCGTGATGTATTTGAATCTTATTAGTTAATATGAAACATGATGTCTGAACTCGAGGATGACGGTTATTGATACAGATTACCTTTGAAATTATTAATTTCTGACTTTGTTCTTGTAACTAATTATATCATATATTCAGAGCTTGACAATTTATAATTTTGAAATATATTAAAAAGTACTTACAAAATTTTGTCTATTAGTTTAGAAAAAACTACAATTGGAATATCCATCACGTTATCTTTTAGTTTTTTAAAATGGCAAAATCTATTTGACCTGGAATACTTACAGTTTACAATTTTTTTCTGTAACATGAACATTCTGAATTTTTTTTTCTTCTTTGCAGATCGATGTAAAAAGTAAAATGACAAAAATATCGAACTCCAAGTGAAATTGAAAACGGAAACTCCTTTATAAAATGGCAAAATCAAAAGCTCAAACACATCTAAAAGAGGGACGAAAGATACCAGAGGGACAGTCAAACTCATTGATCGAAAACAAACTGACAACGTCATGGCCAAAAATAAAAAGACAAACAGACAAATAATAGTACAGATGACATAACATAGAAAACTAAAGACTAAGCAACACGAACCCCACGTAAAACTGGGGGTGATCTCAGGTGCTCCGGAAGGGTAAGCAGATCCTGCTCCACATGTGGCACCCGTCGTGTTGCTTATGTTATTACAAATCCGGTAAATAGTCTAATTCGGTAAGTCACATTCGTGAAAAGGGAAGGGTATTGTAGTTACGACATAAGGAACATATCCGATATCATCTGTGAAACGGTTATTCCATAACGGTCAACCAACTCGTGATGGCGTCCGTTAAATTTACGAAGGGATCTCTAACAAATGGAAAACAACTGTCATTTTCCTGACTTGGTACCGGCATTTCCTTATGTAGAAAATGGTGGATTAAACCTGGGTTTATAGCTAGCTAAACCTCTCACTAGTATGACAGTTGCATATAAATCCATTATATTTACAATAATGTGTGAGCAAAACAAACAAATATTATAGGTAAAAAAGTCAAAAATTGGGGTACATCATTCTATTATAATCTTAATCACTATAAAAACAAATAACTGTTTCAACAAAGAAATACAAAATGGCATATAGACAAAGTACATGAAATTAAGCAAAATATGAAAGACAATAACTCAAAATTGATTATAGAAACATGGTGGGATGTATAAGTACCGCTCCACGTCTTAAGTATATAAACAAAAATGGATAAACAGTAAAGATTATAAATATACAAGGACAAAAAAGAGGAACTTTTACAAGTACTTAAGATGATAAACAACGTCAGTACCTAGAATCTATACTTCAAGACCATCATGTATTATTTGTGAAGTTGATACTGAATTTTTATCAACAAGGTCTTGGTACCTCCCAATGAACTTTTTTAGAAACAGGACGAGACGTTCTTTGACATAACCTTGGCTCATCAACTTTCTGCTCAGGCACTGGTGACGTTTTATAAAGTCTGAGTAGCAGCTGCAAGCTCTTTTAATTACCTTTCTCTAATTCTTACCCAATTTATTCTTTTCCTGATCTGTTGATTATTTTTATTCGATCATCGTGTGGTTCGTTTGATCTCAATTCTTCATTGGTCAAAATTCGATTATGACGTCAAATTTTGTTGCTTTCCTCTGAAATTTCTATTGTAAAGTCATGGAAAAAGGGTACAATGCATGATGACGTCACATAGAGAGAACACATCTTTTTGCAGTTCATTCGAAAAGAAGGATCTAGTTTGTCTGCATATCGTCTAGAAATCATAAGAGAAACTGATTCCATCATCAAATATCGTGCAATACGATATTTATCCTTTCTTGACAGTTAAATTTTAAATATTTGAAACGCTCGGCGAGCCTCGCATTTAAATTTGAAAATTTAATCGTCTACATTGGATAAATATTGCATCACACTCGATGCAGTAATAGAATCTATATTAAAGTCACACAAACAAGTTTGAAATGATTTATACATTTGGATTGCAAAGTTTTACCATAAATCAAGTGAGCACAGACATTCTTTTGAAAGAAAGTTTTTTGTTTTATCTAAATCTTTAGAAATGTACTACTAATGGATTAATATCTTCGCGTACCTTTCATCGCCGAGAGCGGTTTCGTATGCTGTGACCGTAACCATAAACATCTTGTTAGAGATTTGATATTCGAACGTGATAAGCGTTTATTGAACATTTTTCATAATATCATGGTGCATTTATTATTTATTTTTATTTGAATTATTTTTTGGGTGTTCCTATGCAAATAATAAATTTAAACTTTACTGTTTATAAGCTTTGCTTGCAATACCTAAGTAGTTTCTTTTTAGTAAGATTTCAATCAAACCCTTGTCTGTCTCCTTATTTTTAGAATTCAGAACATTGATAGGAACTAATTATCAAATTCTTCCTAGAAATATACAAACTTGATGTTTAATCCGTTTTATTGTTTATGTTTACCAAGATTTGAAGTCTGTAAAAGTTGTTTATTCCTAGTACGGATAGTTTGAGTTAAGCCAATTGCAACTGATTTTACAGTTTGCTTTTATGTGTGCTGTTACACCACTGTTCCATGTTAGGGAAGGATGATATGTTCAACCCCGACACATTCCTTATGTATCTGTACAAAGTCAGGAACCTGCAGTTCAGTAAGAAGTCTTCAGTTCATGTCTGTCATAGTTGTTTTTCGTTCTTTGTTTTTTTATAAGTTAGTCCAATTTACAGAAGGGTATTCTATTGAACTGGATTTCTCGTGGAAATGCTTAATCACTTACAAACTTTAAGGATATTCACTCCTCTGTTTCAAATTAACAAGATTTTTCAAAGATTGTTATGAATGATAGTGTATAAATAACGGAACTTAAAAAGCAAGAAAAAAATGTTCTTGTTTTTGAGATATAATCAATTAAAATTTAGGCGGGATTCCCTCTAAACTTTTCATTCATTTAACATTGGCACCTTTCCTATATCAAAACCTTTGTAAAAATAACAATGATTTTATAAGAATTTGACTAAATGTCATAACATTTTGAGAGAAAAACATGTAGTTGTAAGCTAGAAAAATTCTATTGGCATTACAAGGAAAAAATAGAGAATTCCGAATATCTGACAAAAAGCTAAAAACACAAATCTATTGGCACTACATGGAAAAACTAGAGAATTCAGAATATCTGACAAAAAGCCAAAACCACCAGTTACAAACATCCTTATGTACAAGCGGCTTAAAATTTGAAAAAAAAACTTGTTAAATCAGATAATATATTTACAATGGAATTTAAAAACGCAAAGTAGGATACATGTGAAGCTAATTTCTATAAATATTTCGTCGCAGAAGATGAAAATGATTTGATTTCTGACCATTTTAGTATATGAAATAAGGAGACAAAGTCCAAATGACGTGGATTTAAGGAACTACGGATCACTGAATGGCCTAAATAAATTTAAAAAAAAATCCCAGTCCATAAAGACAGCTATAAAAAGGCCCAGACATGACAAATTTATAAGTTAGGCCGTTAGTATATTCGCAAATTTTTCATGTCATAATTTTTGGTTTCAAACTTCATTTCAATGTGGAATGATTTATTCATGTGAGTCATGACCATCTTCTGTTTGTTTGTTGGACTTAGAAAATGACAATAATAGGGAATAATGGTTTGATGTCTTTCAGTTTTTTTAGGTTTTTCGCGAAAGTCTTCTTACTGATAATATTAAAAGTTGTTTCCTTACATGATTTGATAATCGCAAAACTCATGATTGAGCATATATTTCGATGATTCAAGATGATATCTAGGAGTTAAGTGTGTCATTTCAAATACGTCTTAACGTGAATAATTGACCTTTATGACCTCAAGGTATGGAGTCAGGCGACCCACACACAACATTTCCTCTTACAATAGAAAAAAAAATTTTTGGCTGCAAAGCATCCATCTTTTTCGAATCGCTCCGATTGGCTTAGTTGTTCAGAAAACATTCTAACTTTCAACATGTTCTTCCAGGAATGTATTTTTATCTGAATTTAAGTAACAATCTTTCTTTAATAAAGAATAAGAACAATGTGCTGAAATTGACAGAAGGTATCTTTAGTCGTATTGTAAAGCATGACAAGTCCCGTAATGGATGTACGCGTTCGAATACATAAGGGTCTAGATGAGGTTTACCGAATATATAATAATGGGCAAATGTTACAGAAAAAAAGGGTAAAAAAATAAAGAATAGAAAAAAAAGAAGGCAAAACAAATAAAGAATAGAGAATAATTGGGTGCTGAAATATAAAGAATGGAGACTAATGACTTAAAAATTAAAGAACACGGAACTAAAGGACCTCCCATCCAGACATTTATACATAGCTGCATAACATATTTACGTTTTTCCTATATTCGGAGTTATGTTATGATTATCAATAAAAACTCTTAACAAAACATAATGTTTAAAGAGAGAAATCTTTATTCCTTTATTATAATTTGATAAAATATGCCAGTTTCGTTGAAACTGCTAAGCGCCTTAGAAAAACTAATATTTCTTGAATGATCGCCCAAAAGTTTTGTGAGTTTTGGAACCGTATTTGAAAACAGCGTATTTCGGTTGTATTCAATAGATAAGGGACATTTTGAACGTCAACTTTACCATTTACAAACGTTTCTATTATATTGTAGTCTGTGCAATCATTTCTGTTATTATTCTTAGAGCTTATTTCTAATACGGCACTGTAGACTTTGACCTCTGGGAATATATCTAACCCAGAATTGACAACAATTCTTTGAATAGCTTGAGGTTTGTTGAATACAATTCTAAAGTAATCATCTTTCTTTGGCTTAGATTTGGACCAGAAATATCCAAAGCTGGTATTGTATACATTTTCAGGTGAATGTTTGGAAAGAAACTTTAAATTTGTCAATACTTTTGCGGGTGGATTATCTCCTTTCGATAATTTCTTTTCAACATTTGCCACACAAAATCGGTCTTTGATTGACTGTACATGACCCCATTGTGAGGAAGTCATCCCAATATGCTGAAACAGCGTCGGTTTTCTTATTATACGACGAAATTGAAGCATCTGTGGATTAAAATGTAAATAAGTATTATCTGCAGGTTGTTCTTGGTAAAATAAAGCTACCATTTTAACAAGTGCCTCTAAGTCATGTGTGTGATATAATTTAGCTATCATGCCCAGTTCAGAGAACTCTAAACACGTCCACTCTCCTTTTTGATCTTTGATGAAAGTTTTCATAGCTTTGGTGTATCCTCCAACTGTTATGACGTCATCTTCAAGATGCAAATAAAACTCTGAAAGCTTCGTTTTATATACATACAACCATAATAGAACAAAATCTATGTTTTGTTTTGCTTTCCACTTGGCTTTAGATTTCGAATGCCATTTACGATGGTGAGTTAGATTTGTCAAACTTGGATACATCCAATCAAAGCTCCCAATTATTTTGATTGTTCCATTTTTAACTTCCTGTGGATATTTATTTACAATTGCTGAAGTCATGTTTGTCCTCCACTCTTGGTCCAAATCCGATAGCAATATGACGATATATATTTCTCTGAAGTCTTCTCTATTAGCATTTGTAATGAGCGAGCTCAGTGTATTATAGAGGTAAACAGTGTTCTGTGGTCGCTTTGCCGTCACCAGTCCTATAGTCAAATATCCTACGAAAGAAATAAATAAGAAATCATACTTTTTCTATATTGTTGGGCAACATGAAAACCATATCTATATTTTTATTTTTTAAATATAATCTCCCTTAGATACCATGTATGGTAAAGGGTAGTTATTGACTTAATAAATGGATAAGTACTTATTATGAAGTCGTTCGAATACGACATTTACCTTAACATTTAATAACGTCGTCTCTTTTCCCTTTTTTCGGGAAAACATATCCGTAGACTTACTTATTTCCAATAACAAAAAGGTTCTCATTTAGTTTTGTTTTAATTGATGCGTTTAGGTGCAAGCAAATTTTTCTTAAACTAAATAACTTTTCACTATGACAGTAATATAAAATTTATAATATAAAGAAACATAAATTTACATTTTTATTTGTTACGATATAAAAGGATAATGGATTTTACTTAATTGATTAATATCAATAATTATTGCCTTATGCAACTTATGCAACTTTTATCAATTTATAATTTTTTTTCATTTTGGAGATATGTTGTACAATCATACGACTAAAAAAAAAAGCATTATCACAGAAAAAAAACTCAATTTACCAAAGAAATCCTGTTACATCCTATCTTTTAGTCTACTAAAATTTCATGAAAGAAACCGCATTTTTAAAACTCGTTCCACTTAATTGTGTTTATAAACCAAAAATTTACAATTACTAGATATAAGAAGATGTGGTATGAGTGCCAATGAGACAACTCTCCATTAAAGTCACAATTTGTAAAAGTAAACCATTATAGGTCAAAGTACGGCCTTCAACACGGAGCCTTGGCTGACACTGAACAGCAAGCTATAAAGGGCCCCAAAAATGACTAGTGTAAAACCATTCAAACAGGAAAACCAACGGTCTATAGCTAATCAATATAAAAAACGAGAAAAGAGAAACACTTATGAACAACATCAACAAACGACAACCACGAACATCAGGTTCCTGACTTAGGACAGGTGCAAACAAATGCAGCGGGTTTAAACGTTTTAATAGGCGCCAACCTTCACCCTAACCTGAAACAATAGCGTAACATCATAACATAGAAAGACACACTATAAAATATCAATTGCAATGGCTTAACTCAATCAAAAGACATATTAACAAAAACAAGTGTCCATACACTGAACGAACAAATTTGATCACAATGTAAATACAAAATTAGTAAAACAAGGGGGTTAGATGTAAAACAATATCAGAAAGACAACCATAACCTTGGACAAAATGCCGCCAAATAAAATAACGTACACAGGTAAATAAAAATGATTTTGTTGTAAGGTATACATGGAGTACGGAAATTTTTTTTACAAAATAAATAATTTTGTTGTTCATAGTACGAGAACAGAAGTGAAAATTTATCGTCATACTAAACACTTATCAAAGGTGGAAAATATTAAAATAGTAAGACGAGATATAACACTAAATAAGTAAACATTAAATAACAAAAATACGTTACAAATTGTATCAACAGGTCAAGTAACACGAAAGTACGATTTGAGAGTACTCGCAGTTACTGAAAGCTAGTTAAAAGCCAAAAGCAATTGATAATAAAGAATCATGCATCAGAGATTAAAATCAACTTAAACACATCCCAGGGATTTAGTGTTTTAACGTCTTGGGCAGTCAAAGAAGACATGACTTGTTTGTTTAAAGGTTCGATGAGTTTACACGGATCACATAGTGATTTCCGCGCTTTTAGAACAATATTACCGTAAAATTTAGGATGTAAAATACCGTTTTTAATAAGTTTTCTACAGGTACAGCCAAATTTACTAATCAAATCTTTGTATCTATAAAACTTACGTCTATAAGTTTCTCTTGGTGATCCTATTAATGTAGCTGTGTCTGTCCAATTCTGATAAATAAGATCCAAATCAAATTGCGGGTATAAAATACGTTTTGGGGAACGTCCAATAACTTCCTATCAATTAAAAAACACAAAAATATGCAATAAAATAATAATCAATTAGTTTTACATATACAATTAGTCGTTACTATTTTTAAGGTTATAAAAATCATCAGAATACAATTATACATGAACTGACATGAGCAACATGACGGGTGTTACATGTGGAACAGGATCTGCTTACCCTACCGGAGCACCTGAGACCACCTCCAGTTTTTAGTGGGGTTCGTGTTGCTCAGTCATTAATTTTCTATGTTGTGTTTTGTGTACTGTTGTTTTTCTGTTGGTCTTTTTCTTTTTTGCCATGGCGTTGTCAGTTAATTTTTGACTTTATAAGATTGAATGTCCCTTCGATATCTTTCACCTCTCTTTTATACCATTTATCTTTTTTTCGTGTCGGGGTTGTTTTTGTTTGGTTTAATGACAAAATGGGAAAGTTATATTTTCAGTGTGTGGTAATTCTGTTCAGGAAAATATACTCAATAAAATCATTGAAGTGTTTTATGATGTAAACAACATCATTTGATAGACTGAGAGAGAATGCTTTATTAACCAATTCAATTATTATAAAACAAATCAACATGAGATGCTGAAGCATTAGGAGGTTTTAAATATGGTAAAAGTTTTTCTATGAAATTCTAGACAACATAACAAAACTGATTTTATATCTGAAAACATGAATGAAATGCAACTATAAAGTAAAACTTTTCCTTGCCACACAGGTAGCGTTCACCTCTGAACTTGCCAATTTCTACTGCTTTTGACATGATACTGGTTTGGTCACGTTTTGCTAAAGGTACCTTGATTTGTATACGTAATCGATTAATGAAATTTGAACATCAGTAAACCACTGATGCCTTAAATGTTTGACATTCTTTTCGTCTGTCGATACATCTTATCAGCGCAATATTTACAGTTAGACGGACATTGATGAAACTTTAAACAGTTGTAGAACAATAAAGGATGTGCAGAAAGAAACATAATCACGATTAAACATGTTAAAAAGAGATTATCACATTTACGTACTACTTCAATATGTGAATAATACAACAGAGCGGGTAGTATAAATTTGTGAATTCAATTACAGTTCTAGTTCATTTCAATACTGAGTTGCGTCAGATAGACAACGACCTTATGCTAATGAATAACAATACATCTGATAACCTATGTCTTGTTGTTAAATCTTTACGGAAAGTTTGAAAATTGAGTTGTCATAAGAACCCTACAAAATAGACCAATATTCATGTTTTATTTCTTATTTGAATGTTCCAAAATCAATCAAAGTCTATGCATGTACATGTATACTAGCACTTACAGAGGGTCGATTTCTATCTTGTGTGTTTTTTTAAATAAATTTACCTTTGTTGATGTTATAGGTCTGATAGATAATTCTTTTCTGTTATTATTCTGATTAAACTGCATTATCTGAAGAAAAAAAAAGAAAAAAAGTCAACAAAATAACTTGCTAAAAAAATAAAAAATATATTTAGTAGTTGACCAATCCGTACATGAAAATGGGAAGTTTCTTTCCATCATCTTCCGTCAGGTTTTTGTTTAAACAATCAAAGTAAAGGAATAGATAGTTTGAATATCATTTGTTCCTTATGAAGGTATAATAAAGAAATATTAAACTATAAATTGAACCAAATAGTTCCTCCCAAACATTAAAATGATTCGTACATTCTCGAACAGTTCGAGTTCAGAATTGAAAAACTGCAGACCACATTTTATAATTTTGTGTTACGGATCATTGTAACTGACATATTGTTTAGAAATGAAGTGTTCTGTTTATTAGTTTCACTTTCTATAAGCCTCGTATAAAATATCACAGATCTCCCTAGCCCTGTAGACCATATTTTTGCGATGGCATGCATGATATTATTTGATGTTACTTCGTGTGTAATTTGCAATTGATGAAATGATATACATGAGCTTTTTGTTTAGTTAATACTCGTACCTTAACTGCTGTTAGTGTCAAATGTTGTGATATATTGAATTTTGTCCTCCAACGATCTCCGATGTTTGGCTTAGAGCATAACTCATGGCTAAATAATATACCCAAAACAAACTGCAGCAAATTATTTTGCATTGAGTTATTACAATCTTTACGATTGAAACTTTACCAGTCGCTCATATTTTAAGTTTATACTACATGGTGAATTTATGGTTTCAATCAGCTTTTTAAACTAACACTTACGTTGAATTTGAATAAAAAACAAAATTGTTTGAAGAACAACTACTACAACCATAACTGTAGCTAAGCTCAATATTGTTTGTAAAATATTCTTCCTTTTCTTCATTTTCTTTTATATTCTGAAATTAAATTTAAAAAACAGCAGAGCAAATGATCAGTATATTTCGGTTTAATGCCTTCACCCGCAATTTGTTTGTTATTAGGATAATTGATAAATGATGATGGTAAATCTTTGATAACATCAGTTTAATTCTTATTTACACCTTAAGCTGATTAAGGTGACTCAAATGTTTAAATATTGTTTTTCTACCTGTCAACCTGTTGAACATTGTATTGGAATCTTTAAATGAGTATTAATTGTGTCGTTTTATTTCTGTGTTATTGATTTTCATCTCACATCTCCTTTACTTATTCATAATTGAACAGAGCTTTTCGTATTTTTGTTTTAAGTTTCGTCGGAATATGAACCAAATATGAAGAACGGGAATATTCCTCAGTAAACAAGATACTGATATATATTACAAATTTGATTTTCAAACAATTTTATATTGCAGGGTGTGTCAAATGCTTCTTTTTCAATATAATTATCATAAGTATATCGGGAATAAAAACAAACTGGTTTCAGATGTATTGTTTATACGAACAAATTATAAATCTTTGAAAGTACAAACAAACGGATCGCCTATCCTCTTGTGAAAGTGTATACATATCTTTTCTTCATTCAAAACATTTTTGTTAAACCTAAAGACAGATTGAAAGAATAATGCCCCGATGTGTCTGAAAATGGTCAATGTAAATATCTTTTTTAGGCAGAAAAAACAATACAATTCAAACAAAGGGGAATTAGAACTGGAATAATTTTTAACTGACAACATAAATCCCCGCGAACCGGTCTGTAATTTGAAATCTTGAAATATTAACCCCGCCAAAAAACACCACTTTACAATACTCTTTTTCATTTTCGTCCTTTTTACACCGGATATCTTGAACCTAAATCCGCGAGAAAATACGAATCCCGAGGAGCAATTACACGAGACGGAACACGGTAGGTAAGTAAGATCTGGATTGGATTCCCATGGAGCATAATTCTCCTTGGGAATACGAAAGGTGCGATCAATAGGTCACCAAACTTTGAATCATTTAATTAGAGGACATACTGTACTGACAGATTCCGGTGTGATTCATTTTCTGCAAATATTTTTATGATAATTTATCTTCTTGTGTGTTCCTAATGAATACGATGCGGTTCCATCTATGGGAATGTGAAAAACAAGAGAAAACGTATAACAAAAATACCAAGGCAAATTCAAAAAGGGGAAGTCCATTAAAAGTGAAAAAAATCAAACGCTATCAATCAACGGAACAAGTGAAAAACAACTGCCATATTCCTGACTTGGTACACGCATTTTCCGTGAGTGGTTTGAACTTAAATTTTGTTGGCTGTTGTCGACTAGTCAGTCAAGAGCGTAGTCAAAATGTTTTATATCGCTCGTTTCTCTATTCCTAGCCGTAGGTCGGATAGAATTATGATTTTATTTTTATTTTGTAATGTAACACATGTATAATAGCTAAATAGAATATATATATTTCGGTTTATTACATTGGTTGCAATGAATTACATTGATTTCCCAGTGCAATAAAAACCGATAATTTCACATGTGAAATAAACGTGGTTATTTCACTCCTCTGACGTCATACAACAATAGGCGTTGTCAAGACGTCGATAACGTCGGATCAAAACAAATTGTGAATGCGTAGAAAAAGATATAGTTCCTTACATTTTCTACTTTAATTTCATAAAAAAAGCATTTGCCAATGTAATAAAAAGAATAACTAATCAAAGAATTCAAATATCGAAAAATATTCAACTCGTGACCGAACAACACTGATAATTAACTCATGCGCTACGCGCATTCGTGAATTAATGTGTTGTTCGGTCACGCGTTAAATATTTTTCTCTATTTGAATTCTTCGATTAGTTATTCTATAATTATTCTTTACCATTCTTGCAAATATGATAAAACTAGTATGCAGTCTCACACATTCTAACTTTCAAATAAGACAATCTTCAGATGCATGATAGTACATATTTTCAATCAATCATACTGAGGATCATGTTGCCATGGTAAATCATTTAACTGATTTATATAGAAATAACGTTTCACGACACACATTTATACAAAGTATGATTATCAATCAACTGGAAGTTCGAAATGCCTTTTACTGAGACTTAGTCAAGTTAGTCTGTTGAATGATGTGCGTCTCGCGTACACAATTGTATTCTAAGCCCGGTATCCATGATGAGTTTATATACAATTATATACTTATATGGAGTTATTTTCTTTCAGAACGATAGGTCATTCTTTCGAAGAAAAAACCTGGACGATACCAAGTTTCAATGAAATGTGCTTCAAGGCATAAAATAATGACTTGCGCCAGGTCATTATTTTTCCTAATTAAAATGAAAATTACAGATTACTAAAACATTTAATCTTTAAAGGGGGTGGGGGGGGGGGGGTATAATATTTCATCCTGATTCTCAATCTTTGAAGAAAAAAATATATTGCCAGACAAAAGAGAGAAAACAGTTATTCTGAAAAGATCGTTAAAAATTGTTGAAAAATAATCTGCTTTTCCGCGATAAAAATGTCATGAAACAAAAAAAAAAACACATCACCCCTTTTATTTTGATTATGTGATAAATTACTTACAAAATGACTTGTATTTTTCGTACATCTTAACAATTCAGTTGCATCTTGCTTCATGCAATTACTATACCATTTATATTGTAACTTGACAGTGATTACTAACGTTTATACAT